TACATGTATAGATTATCTGAGGAACATTGATGTTTTGACTATGTTGAATTTTTTAATCCATAAATGTGATATATATTTCCATTTATTTAGGCCTTCTTTGACTTATTCCATCATTTTTTGTAATGTGCAACATACACATTCTGTACTTGTTTTTTTTTTTTTCTTAAATTATCTATTTGTTCAAGTATTTGATTCTTAGGGAAATATTATAAATCTGTTGCTTCAGACATTTAAGTTTCCAAATAGTTCATTGTTATAGAAATATGATTGATTTTTGTGTGGTGACCTTGAATATGGCTACATTGCTTAATTTATTTGTTGATTTTGAGAAGTTTTGTTTGTTTTCACTTGTCTTGATCCTCATTTTCTGCTTGAGCAATACTATTACCTGAGTATACAACAACATTGTGAGAAAAATTTTTCCTCCTTTTCCAATTTGTGTGTCCTTCTTTCACTTTTCTTGCCTTATTGACCATACTATGGCTTTCATGCAGTGGTAAATAGAAGTGGTGAATGATTTCAGTCTTTCAAGTGTGATATTTGTCATCTTCAGTCACTAAGTCATGCTCAATTCATTGCAACCCTGTGAACTGCAGCATTCCAGGCTCCCCTGTCCTCCACTAGCTAAAATTCATGTCTATTGTGTCCATGGTGGTATCTAACCATCTCATCTTCTGCTGCCCCCTCCTTCTGTTGTCTGTAATCTTTCCCGTCATCAGGGTCTTTCCCAATGAGTCAGTTCTTCAGATGAGGTGGCCAAAATATCGGAGCTTCAGCTTCAGCATCAGCCCTCCAATGAATATTCAGGGTTGATTTCTTTTAGGATTGACTGGTTTGATTTCCTTGCAGCCCAAGGGACTCTCAGGAGTCTCCTCCAGCACCTCAATTCAAAAGCATCAATTCTTCAGTGCTCAACCTTTGTGGTCCAACTCTCACATTCATACATGACTACTGGAAAAACCATAGCTATGACTAGACGGACCTTTGTCAGCAAAGTGATGTTTCTGCTTTTTAATATGCTGTCTAGGTTTCTCATAGTGATGTTAGTTATACTCTTTTTTGATTTATGCTGTTTATACAACTGAAGAAGTTTCTTTCTATCCCTATTTGCTGAGAATTTTTATCATTAATAGATGTTGTGTCAAATGTTGGACATATTTTTAAAATTTCTATTTGTATGCTTCTAATAGTTAAAAAAATTATTTTGACTCCTTTCGCTATTTTCAGCTTAAATTTTTTATGTACATGTAAGTGGTCATATCAAATTAATCTACTTCCACTAATAAAAAGTTTTCCCAATTTCAGGCAACGTGGTCCAGCTTTTAGTAGGTGCATTCTTTTTTTTTTCAGAGATACTAATTTTTTAAATTGGTATTTTATAGATTTATTTTTAGAGTTCTAACAGATGAGCAAGTAGTAGAAAATAGTATATCTTGGAATAGCTAATTACCACCTACTGCTAATAAAAATTATGATTTCAAGTATCATTTATAATTTACTACAATTTGCTGAGTACTAGAAGAGAAATGCAAAGGCAAATATCAAAGAAACCATTTGTATTGTACAGATTTTATCTGCTTTGTTTACTTGATTTCTTGTTTATTTGCTTATGTTTTCTGTAAAAAAAAGAAGGTAAAGAGTATCTAAATTTTTATCTTCATCAAAAATCAGTACAACAAACCAGAAAAATCAATTAGGAGGGTCAAGCATTTTTATAAATTAGTTTAGATTTGTTCTAAGTAATCATTCTGAGCAAATGATCATTTAAAAAACATACCAAAACATTTGTCTTTTTATTTCTGAGTGAAATAGTTTTAAATGATCATCATATCCTACAGTTTAATTCAAAATGTTTACTTTAGAACATTTGTGTTACTACTCATCAATTCCATGGATCCATTTTTTAATAATAAACAAATTATATGCTTTAAAAAAATGGTAAAAGTTGCTGTGTTCAAGTTGCATTTGAAGGGAAAACATTCTAATGATTCATTTTTATGGCAAGAATAAAGTTTTCAAGAGTTAAACATATTCATAATTTAATTACTCTGCTGAGACCTAAAAGTCTATGTCTTTGACTTCAAATTTTACTTTCTTTCTAGACTTAAAATTTAAGAATTTTAAATATACAATGTGGAACTCGATTTTTAGAATACATGTTGGAAAATAGCTAAAAGCCCTTCTATTTCTAAATTTAGCACTTGATATATGTGTCTTTTTGTCTGTTTTCTGTTTTACTCTGTAAATGCTGTTATTTTATATTCAGATTATTTCTAATGAGTTTTCAGACACCCTTGGAGCCTGGATAATGAAAATGTTATTTTCTATATTAAAATCAGTGTGTTTTTTATAGTGCATTAGTCATAAGTTTGTTAAAGGGTAAATGGCTATTTCATTATGGTAATTATAAACACACACTATCTCTCATATTCCTACCTATTTTAATGGAAAAATGCAGACAGACATTATTGGTAAACTTCTGATACTCTGCTACTATTAAGTTTCAGACTTCTAAAATTGTACTTTGTGAAATTCCATCATAAGAAACCAACTTTTTTTAGCCTTTTTTTTAAACTACTCTCATTTCTCCTCCTGTATGTATCTTTCTATTTTACTCTTCCTCCTCTCCCTATTTTCCTCTTGCCTTTCTCCCTGCCTTTATTTTCTTCTCTTTCTTTCCTTTCCAAAATTCTTTTTTTTCCTAAGTGTCTCATGTTTGTTTTTATTTTCATTAAAACAATAGTTGGTAGCATTACCATTGCCCAGTGGTCACAAACACTCTGAGACATACATGCAAACGTGCAAAGACACGTCTGCACACACATTAGCAAATAATTTAAAATAACCCTTCACTTAATTGAAAAATGTATTTTATTTCTTAGTTTAAGTCTCTTATTAGAATTGCTTAGAACTTTGATATTATGCAAGTGCTTTTAGTTACTGTCTCTATTAGATCAGGGGAAGAAAAGTTTTCCTAGTCTATCTCCCTGTGTCTAACTGAATAGGGATCCATATTGTATGAAGTTCCACATAACCAAAGCCATTAACATTACAAGATTAGCTGTAATAGCCCTGATATAGAAAATATCAGGAGTTTCCACTTTTCACGTTACGTTTTACTCTTTCCTTAATGGGCTTCCCCGGTGGCTTAGTGGTAAAGAATCTGCCTGTAATGTAGGAGACACAGGAAGCCCAGGAGATGTGGGTTTGATCACTGGATCAGGAAGTTCCCCTGAAGAAGGAAATGGCAACACACTCCACTATTCTTGCCTGGAGAATCCCCATGGACAGAAGAGCCTGACTGGCTATGGTCCATAGGGTCGCACAGAGTCAGACAGGAGTGGGCACACACTTTCCCTAATACTGGATTCTGTTTTTCTGAAGTGATATAAATACTCAGGCTTAACTTTCAGCTGACAGCAATAACGGGTTAATTCATGTTTTCAGCCAATTAAAAAAAAATAAACTAGATGATTTTAAGTTTATATGTGGAGTTTCTAAGTAATTTTAGTTTTTAAAATTGGCAAAATTCTTTTGCAAACATTTTTGCTCTTGGTGTTGGTTTCCATTACTACTTTAATGGAAGATATTTATTTTTTAAAGATGGATAGCTAGTTATGGAAGCAATTAAGGTGCTTCACAGAATCTGGAAATTTGTAAAACATATTAATAAAATAAGTCTGCTACCAACTACTAGTTAAAATAGATTCGGAGTGAGAAATTAATCTACCTTCTTTGCATTTATTTTGACAAAGGTCATTAGAACCACAGAGCAAGAAACAGTTTAAGAAATTTGTGCAAGTTTTTCCTGTCCCCTGACTTTTAACAGACAGTGAACCTTAGAGAGTACTTTAAGCTATTACTCTCAACATTTTTTTTCCAGTAATAGTTTAAAAAGCCAAATAAATTATTAACATGGGACAAGAAAAGAGTCTTATTAGTTTAAATTAGCCTTATTTATAAGGAAAACACATAGTGCTCTGCATTAAGCCTTACCTTGGGTCCTCTGCTTCATGAATTATGCGCTTCTGTGTCACGGATACTTGCACACTTGATGATCTTGTAGTAACCCATAGCTGCTTCAGAGCACAATGGTGTGATATGAAGTGAGGCAGAAAACAGGAGAACCTTTGTCGCTGAGTCAGCTGCAAGAAGAAGTAATGTGTATGAATGTACAGTATAGGGAGATCTATGAAAGATCTACTCTCTTTCTCCCAAAAGACTCTGTTCCATGGTACAAGGAGAATTCAGTTCTATTTGGCAGACCTCCATGCCAGTTTGGAAGCAGTAAAAACAACCACAAAAACAAGCCTCATTTCTCAGTGTCTTTAATTCTCCATGTTTTAAGTAACATTTTAACTCTCATTTTGATTTCACTTTGTTTTAATAATCAAGAGCTAACACCCCTCTCTCTTGTATTGAGTACTATTTCCAGTGCAAGGATGCAGCTAAGAATGAATTACAGAGATGAGTCCAGTCATAGGTGCTATGCTGGTGTTTGTCACTGGTACAATTTTAAGGAAAGGCCCTATATCTCTTAACTGAGGCGGGGATGACTTTAAATGATGTTACATCAAGGAGGGCAAGGAATCCTAGCAGATGATGCCAATTTGTTTTCAAAATGAGTATTATTAAATAATTCATGCTTTTAATATGGAGAAATTAGGTCATTTTTCCACTCCTCCCACAAATGTTCAATCTTAATATCTAAATAATGAAACAACACAGAGAGTGTTATCCATCCTGGTACTAACAGAGAATGCCAGTTATGACGGGCTCATTGTTTATTTTAACAGGTAATTTGTGGACTGGAATCATTTAATTGTTCTGAGTACATAATTACATGTCAGCAATTTCCAGTTTAATTAAAATGTACAAATCTGAAGATTAAGGGAATTTTTGAATTATTAATCATTTTTCCACTAGGAAATCTTGTTGCTCTGCAGGAGATTTGTCCAGTGTACAACTATACGTATTTTTTTCCTTCTTTTTCACAGACAGACAATTTTCCCGCAGAGCCCAATTACATGGGCAGCAGGCAGCAGTTTGTTCAAAGGTAAGGCCTATTAAATAACTTTCTCGGCTTCCCCATTTGCATTCGTGTCAAAATTGCTTTGCAAGAGTTTACACTTCAGGTTCAAACTCGTAGAGACAATACTTTCTCTTCTTTTTCTTTATATGTATTTCAGTAGCTCCACGTTTAAGGACCCAGAAAGAGCCAGCCTGAGAGACAGTGGGCACGGGGACAGTGATCAGGCTGACAGTGACCAAGACACTAACAAAGGCTCCTGCTGTGACATGTCTGTTAGGGAGGCGCTCAAGATGAAAACGACTTCAACTAAAAGCCAACCACTTGAACAAGGTGAGTGAAGCCTTCCAATGCTTACAGAGTATAAAGCTTAAGCAATATTAAACCTCAGAATACTAGTTGTAGTTTATCACCTTGGAATGGAGCTTTTATAATATAGCAAAACAAATAGCAAATTCCGAGGTTGCCTCAGACAAAAAGCAATTTTTCAATACTTCAGTAACCATAGAAAAATGAAGTTCATGGATTCTAGCCTGAAATCTTCCTAAAATGAGAACTTTGCCGAAGTCACTAGATTATACTTATTTTTATGAACATTTACTAACCTTTGCTGTTTTGCATTTTCGTAAAGGAAAATATGGTATATGTTAACTAGATATGCACATTTTAATGTATTAATATAAAGATTAAATTAATAAATTTAACACTTTTAGGTGAAATGAAAACTGGATTGAAATTGTATAGCTCTTAGCAGGGTTGGTATTATTTTTAGTGTGGGGTTTAGCTTCAAAGTCGTTTTTCAAGAGTCAAATAACAGCTAAGCCAGAGTTCTGGCTCCTTCTTTTGATTTACATCTAAGTCTTCCTGGATATCAAATAAACATGAATTTGTTTAGTCTGATAGAGGTAAAAAAGAAATGCTTCTTCATGAATACATGTCTTTTCTGGAAGTCTAACTTCAGTTTATTAGCTCAATATGTCTTTTTATTAATTATGATATTTTTATTGTTTCAAACACAGTAGAATGTTTATTAATGATTCACCCAAAGAGAATTAAGCTACTCTTTTGTGTAAGACTTAGATGTTGTGAAAAAGCTTTTTTGTATCCAGTTATAAAAAGTAAAAAGAAAAAAAAAAGTAAAAAGAACTGTTGCATAAATTGAATTTCAGAGTTACAAATGCATATTATATTAGTTAATGTCAGTTTTAAAAATATTGATAATATGAAAGTATATTGATATTTAAGTTTTGAGAAGCTATATTTAAACTATTTGAACTTATTTATTCTTCTAAGTCATTTAATGATAGATGATTCATAGAAAGTAGATTTTTGCCTCTAGTGCAATCTCTCCTATCACATATACATCAGCAGATAGAATGCTTTCTAATTTCTCTAATCATGTTGAAGTTTTGATTCAAATATGCAAATACACACACATATATGCATTCAATACAGAAATTAATTAATATGTATATTTAAGTTTCTGCACTCAATATAATTATGCTGGCCTTATTTTAAGAATGACACTCTCCAAAGCCTTCTTTTCTAAGTAATAAGTGCCAGATATATTGTAGCAAGTTTTTGCATAACAAGGCTATATTGTTTTAAAAATTACTTTAAACAAAAGTTAATTGAATACTTACCTAATTTTTGCAGTTCTTGCAAATTTGAGTGTTTACTTTATGTGACTTATGTGGTCTTTATGGGTTTGACTATACAATGTCATATAAATATTTTAGGCACATTTTAGGTAATGAATTTTTGGATTTTGGTATGTGAATACATAGCCAAACAGACTCATCTACATGTGTGATAAAGTGGTTTGCAGGTAATTCATTAGCTACTATTTGTAAAGCTGCATAGAGTAAGTAAAGAGTTTACATTTACTGTCATATCTTCATGAGAAAATTTGTTAATTAAAACCAGCCTGCTGCTGACTATTAACTTCTTAATTCCTTTCCATACATTGAATGAGCAATGTAATTGATAAAAAAAAAAAAAAACTATAGGTAAAGGACATTTATATCTGAAAATGTAGTTTATACTGAAAACCTGTTATTTTTTTCCTATTTTGGTATCAAAAAGTAATATCTTAGAAAGGTGGCTATTGTTCTTAAAAGAACATATAGTTGATGTATATTTTAATTAGTATTACACATAAAATAACTTCTAGTCTATGAGTGAGAATGCCAATAGAGATGTCTCCTGTAAAGAAGTAGTTTCCATGTATCCTTATTAACAAACATGAGAAAGTTATGAATCTGAAAGCCACACTTAGAAGATAATCTCTGAATTACATAGAAGACTGACTTGTACTTTAAAGCATGATTTTTGAAGGATTAACTAAAAGAGTATTTCATTGATTGATTGATGGATGGATTTGACTCATTAATTCATTTATTTAATAAATATCTATTAATGTTTTCAATAGTAAGGAAAGTTAGATACTTTGGGGACATCAGAAATAAATTTGATTTGGAGCCTGCCTTCAAGAAACTGTATGTAGCTGTAACGGAGATAGGAGACTCTCTCTGTGTCTCTCTCTCCTCTCTCCTCTCTCATTTACCTTTCTCTCTTGTCTATCTCCTTACCTAGCTCTCTATCTCCCTCCAATCTGTCTGTTTCTGTCCATCACCTAGATCATCTTTTTGTCTCCCTGTCTCCCTTCCCTTATGTCTTTGTCTTTTCCCTATCTATGTATCTTATGTATACATCTATCTACCTACCTATCCAGATGAAGAGGAGGCTAGTATTTATTGTTTTTACTATTTACCATAAACTATGCTAACTTCATTTCAACATTAGCTTATTTAACCTGAAAACTCTAAAATAGCTAGCATTTGTATCTTACATATAAAAAAAAACTGAGCTTATGGGGAACTTGTTAACTTGCAGAACAGGTTGGAATTTTATCTTAGATCTAGATATGACCAAAATTTATACCTTTTCTATAAAACTTTATCTCCAAATAGGAGAATTTGCTCAAATATACATTCTGATTCATTGCTATGACTAGGTATCAAGTAAACGTTGAAGGTTATTGAATTCATGTATATGAACCTCGGGGGAAAATATAAAAATGACTTATATGCATTGAATTATTAGTGGCTAAAACATAATATTCTTTTTAGTATTCATTGCATTTATAAATAGATGAATATAAATTCCTCTCACGTTTATAGATGTTAAGAAACTTTGTCAGTGTTCCATGCTGTAAGTAGTGAAGTCAGCATTAGAAATAAAATTGGATGCCTTCAGGGTTTGTCCTCTTAACCAATGCTTCATACTATTCATATAATGAATGGTTTACTCAGAAAATAAATAAATAAATAAATGTTTGAAGAAGCAATCAGCCATTGTCTTGGTCATTGTACTCTGTTAACTTATTTGAAAAGCATCGCAAACACCAATGCTAAGTTAATTTAATGCACACCTATAAAGAGTAATTTCCTTTACAGATGAAAGAAGATGACAGCAGTATTCAAATAATTATCTCATGTCCAAGTTTCATATGTTAAACTCTAATTTTTAATATCTTAAAAAAATCTCCTAAAAAACAGAAATAAATTTCCTTTAAAACAAAACAGAAATCTATTTATCACTTTTTTTAATAGTAGTGCCTTAATAGTTTTTAGTTAAAAAGTTGTAGCATGCTATATTTCATATTTTCATATTCATCTAGTTGACTTCTCTCCCTGTTTAAATTATCTCTATTAAGAGAAATAATGTTCTCTTTCTAAATTAAAATACTATTTTAATTAGAAATTAAAATCAATTTAAAAAATAATCTTCGTATTTTCAGTGGACATTTTCTATGCTAATAATGATTTCCCTTTGGAAATAGCTTAGTACATTTGAAATTTTATTTCTTTAACTCAACTGTTGCTGTTTTATTTTCTCTTTTGTACCACTAGATTTTTTCCATTTGTTTTATTCCTGATATTTGTGTATTTTCGCTACCATCAGTTTAAGTGTCACAGATATACAGCACTAGTATGTGTAGCCCATTATTTTAGAAAAAAAAATTTGAAAGGATTCAGTAGCTAATTGATGGTGTGATATACTGCACTATATCTCAAGATAGCTTTAAGGATTTAATGTTAATAAACCCTCTAATAGAAAGAAGTTATTTTAGTTTCTCTTAGTGTGATTTAAAATAAAAACACCTCTCAAAGAATGTACTTAGTTTCTTACTGTTTGAGTTCAGTTTTCTGTCTGCCTCTCTGTCAGTTAGATTTTCCCCCATATATTCTCCATCAAATATTAAATGTAGATAGGTAGGTTAGTTGGTAGATAGAAGGAGGGAGATAATAGTAAAACAATCTGAATGTTTTGGAATTCATATGGTGCCGATAGTAGCACATTCACACACACACACACACACACACACACACACACACATTATTTAATGCCATTGTTTATTGGAAAATGACACAGAAAATTGATTAAAATACATGTGATTTTATTATTGTTGATTTTATATTTTGGAATGAGAAAAGCTAATTTATATCAAGAACTAGTAAAAATACATAATGTTACTTCTGTAAACAAGAGTCACAATTTTATAAAGAAGAAAAACTCTTTCAAAAAGTTTTGAAGGTAGCTTACTACTTATACCTCAGAATACCATTTATACTTTGACTTCAAGGAAGTACGATACCCTTGAATTTCTATCCATCGGAAGCCCTGTAAAGTATTTTGATTGTTAGCAATAATTGCTTTTTTTTTCTTTTAAAAGATGTAATAAGCTTTCCCTAAAATTCAGTAGTCGCTATTGATTCCCAAATAATAAATGTGCAGTTTTTATAAATGCTGACCAGCAATTTCTCTGAGCTTCTTATTGATAGCTCAGTGACTGTTCTCAGTTTTTCAAGGATAATCAGTCTTCTGATATCTTTATAGTTCACTGAAACCAAGTCCTTGAATTGAAGTCTGACACTAGTGCAGTAGCATTGTTCATCCCGAGTACTGATGGCCTGGCCTGTGCTAGAGACTGCAGTGGAACACCACCCACCTGGAGTGTGATACCCTGTGGGGGCCAGATTGTTGGTCCCCTCCCTGGTGATTGGACTCCACGACATTTCTGAGCCTCAGGAGTTGCTCCTTTCACATTCTTTTTCATTTCTTATTTTATTTAATTGCCTTATAATTTCCTTTATTCTATTCAAGTCTGTGTCTCCCCTGTTCTCTCTACTGCCAGAAAAATCTGACTTCCTAAATTATGTTCTGAATTCAAAACATTTCACAATGGAATCCCTGATTATAATCTAATAAAAATATAATCAGTAGGAAGTTGAGAATAAATGAAATACCAAAGTAGGTTTGCTCCAGTG